GGGGGCACCGGACGGGGGGTGTGGGGGGGGGGGGGGTTTTCCTCACTTGTGTGGTCCCCAACTGATGATTCTGTGGGTCAGTGGCCCCCACACACAAAAGGCTCCCCACCCCTGCCATAAAGAAAACATTGAAACCTTGTGTGTTGGACATAAATTAATATTTTACTTCATTTAAAATGAAGTTTGATAAACTTAATGTGAGTTAAAATGTTTAATCTGTTTAATTTAAAGTAAACCCTTCTCCCCAGCTGCAGCACTAACAAAATGGCTTGGGTGTAATTATGTAATTAATGGTGAGTTTCCATTGGCAACTGGTGGTCTGTGAAGAGGTTTACATTGTGAGGTGGTTCATGGGCCAAAAAGTTTGAGAACCACTGATAGAGTTTTCAAGATTACGGGGACAGATTTAGAACCTGAAACTGATTTTTATGAAGGTTACTAATTTGACTGTACCCTTAGAAATCAGGTAAAGAAAAATAAAATGCTAAAGGTTTTGCAAAATAAACAGTTGTAACTTAAATAACGAATAGACTTGCAGCACCCTAGAGACTAACAAACGTAGATGGTATTGTGAGCTTTTGTGAGCACAACCCACTACTTCAGATAAAGTGGGTTGTGCCCACGACAGCTCATGATACCATCTACGATTTGTTAGTCTCTAAGGTGCTGCAGGACTAGTTGTCGATGGTGGTGATGATGGTTGAAGGGGGTTTTTAGTTAGACTAACACGGCTACCCCTTGGAGTTGTAACTTATGCTTGTGGTCTCATTTACTCTTTGTTTTAGAGATGGTGGAGCCAGGACAAGATCTGTTGCTTGCTGCTTTGAGTGAGAGTGGAATCAGCCCAAATGATCTATTTGATATTGACCCTACGGACGTGGGCATTGCAACTCCAGCACCAGCGCCAGCTGTTCAGCAGAGAGCTTTTTAAAATTAGCCAGTATTGCATACTGTGGGATTATAGCTTTTTAAACAATTGTAAAAGACTGGAATTGTGTATTTTCATTGATACAAGCTCAGCATATGAAAAAAGTTGATGGTAATCACCGGGGGTCGACAAATTATGGAAAACCCTACTCGCCAGACAAAAAGGGGACTCGCCACCCTTCCCCCACAAAGTGTGTGTGTGTGTGTTAATGGCATAAATCCCTAATAAGAACAGTAATTACTAATAAGTTATTAATATCGCCCAGGTTATTAATAAATATCTTATAAACCTCTAAATTTTCAAAGTTGATGGTAATCACCGGGGGTCGACAAATTATGGAAAACCCTACTCGCCAGACAAAAAGGGGACTCGCCACCCTTCCCCCACAAAGTGTGTGTGTGTGTGTTAATGGCATAAATCCCTAATAAGAACAGTAATTACTAATAAGTTATTAATATCGCCCAGGTTATTAATAAATATCTTATAAACCTCTAAATTTTCCCTCTGCTGCCATGTCTCCTCCCCTTGCTCCATCAGCTCCCCTGGTGCCTGCTGCCCCCCAACCCCTCACCCTCCTCTGCTGTCCTGACTCCTGCCCTTCTCACTGCCCTCAGCCCTCCTGCGACCTGCCCCCCTCCACCAGCCCTT